TTATTATTATTATTATTATTATTATTATTATTATTATTATTATTATTAACTATGTAACTATATAAGGGCATGGTGAGGATGCTGGAGAATATTGTTTTCATTCCTCTGTTAAGAGTGGAGGTGGGCGCATGGCTACTCACATAACCTTGACTGGCTTACATGGAGTTGAAGAAAATAAGCTGTGTTATGTTACCAGACATCTGTGTATTTTCTTATTTTGATCATTTGATGAACAAAATAAGTTTAAAGCTTGAGTAGATTTAACACCACAGAAACTAGTTATAAATATTTTTCATAGTTATTTTTCAATGTCTAAACAGCTTAATTTCAAAATTTGTTTGAAAGATGAAGCATACACAAACTCGCAAAAACAAAAGAGTTCATCACACTTTGATATGAATGTACTTGGATTCTCTTTTGTTTCTATTTTCAGCTCTGCCTTAATCACGTTTTCTGTACTTTACAGCTCTCCGGGTGATTGGCGGAAGTGTGACAGTGAAACAAGGAAGTACTGCTATCTTATCGTGCTATGTCACTGGTACCAATGATGACCTGACACAGATTACCTGGCAGAGGAAGACTAGAGAAAAACCTCGCAATGACAATTTCCTAACTATCCTACCCAGAGAGGGAGTGCAGTTTGTCAATGGAGGTGATGATCGATTTAAATATATTGGGAATTTTAACAACAAAAATGGAACTCTCCAGTTATCCAATGTTGCCCTGAAGGATGAAGGCAGATACACGTGCATCTTCACCTTGTTTCCCAGTGGAAATCAGAAGATTGAGATACCTCTAAACGTGCTTGGTATATAAAAAAAAACAACAACTTTATTTAAAATATTGTGGGTGTTTGTTTGTGAGACAGACATTTTACCATGTTGCTCGCATGTTGACTAATTGTGTGCTGTACCTCTCCTAGTGCCTCCTTTCACAAGCGTCAAGGACAATCTTCCCACTTTGGGCACAGAAGAGGTTTTATTTGCTACCTGCACGGCTGTTGGATCGAAGCCTCCTGCAGAGGTGAGGTGGCTCACTGGTGCTTTGGGAGACAAAGTGAGGACGACGGCAAACTCCACCCAGTATGACAACGATACAACTACCACTGTCAGCTCGTTGTTTGGTGTTCCTACGAGAGAGATTAACGGTCACCAGGTCCAGTGTGTCATCAGCGGTGACTCTCTGTCTAAAGAAGAGAGTCTGCTCTTCACTATACAGATCTACTGTGAGTGTCAGCTGCTCATGTAGTTTATTATTTGTCTTCTTTTGTGTTGGCGTTGACTGAAGAACGTTAATTATTAAATCAAATATTAAAAGTACACAGGCACACCCAGGATTAACTGATTAAACTGCAACTGCAAAGCAATACTATAGAACTTACTTACTTGTTACCAGTTAATCTTTATTATCTACTAATGCAACAGAAATATTTTCATAAATTATGGATAAAATAAAAGTAATAGCTGCACTTTTTTAAAACTATACCCTGCATCTTTGGTTTGAACAAAAGCAGACATAAACCTCATACTTCTAGGTAGCCTTAAGTGTTAAGAGTTGACATGGTTTTGCTTTTTTTCTTTGTTCATGAGCTGATTTATTGTTTTTCCCAGTATGGATACCAGCTTTATCCTTGTTCTCATGCTATTGTCGTTCACTCATGTTGTCACAATAGCTGGATAAAGATTTTGCGAAAGATGAGACGAGTAATAGAACCTGATCTGTGTCCTGAGACACAACCACCCAGTTCAGCTGAAATGCAGAAAACTCAGTAAAGTTGTGCATCAGTGTGTGTATCAGCACGGCTTTGGTAGGGGAAAAGTAGAACTAAAACTATGTATCTTTAATCAAAGTCCAACTGTGTTTTTTTTTTTTTACTTACTAGCAGCTGTATATTCCACATCTACACTGCTTGTGTCAAATAATGCGCATCCCTTTTTGACACCAGTTCGATAATTTGAATCTTGAGAGCATCACAAAATGAATAATGTCTACCCAGAATTTGGATATTTCAGCTGCCTTGAATGAGTTTTGTTCTCGGTAAGAGTGCAGATGTTCAGGTTAAAAATTAACTCTCACCAGTTGAGGCAACACCACGGTGCACAGACCAGCTTAAACCTGTTTGTAAAGCTTAACAATGACTTCATTTGTTTGAGATCCATTCAGCACACATTGGAAATAGCAGAAGGTGAAGCAAAAACACTAGAGACTGTTTTCAAAGCATGCTCTTCCAGTATTGTAGGTTCTTTTTTTTAAATGACACAGTTCGTCTGTGGTGTTATATTTCTGGTTGAAATCCTCATAAAGGCCATGCTTTTAAACAGAGCACCAACATGCTTGAATGTGTACAAAATGATCTCTGCTTGAAACTAAGTGTAAAGTACCCAAAATGCATTTCTTTGTTTTGATTCAAATATATATGAAAAGTTGTTTGATCTTATTAAGATGTCCTCAGTTAAGAATTAACACAGGTCTCTTGTTCTTTCTTTCTTTTTGCAGTTTCTCCCACAGAAGTGAACATTAGAATGATTTCAGAGGACTCGTTCGAGTGTGTGACAGAAGCCAAACCAAATGCAAACTTTACCTGGAGCAGGTAAAGTAGTTTGAATATTGGTTCCAGTTGAAATATTTCATTTCATGGGAGTGGTAATAATAAAGGCACTGAGTCTTATATAGTGCTTTTCTTCTCTCCTGGAGCATTCAAAGCGCTTTATACTCACTCTTTCACATAAGCACTTTCTTCTATGCTTTTTAAGTGCTCATTAGTTAACATTTACACACCAATGGATGCAACTTGTTAGTATCTGGTCAGTATCTTGCCCAAGGATATCTGGCACTCAGACTGGGGGAGTCAGGGATCAAGTCATCAACCTTCCATTCAGTAGATGACCTTCTCTACCTCCTGAGCTACAGCCACCCCCCAGGAAATAATGTTATCACCAAGCACATGACACATGCTTGGTGATAAGAAGCACATGTCATGCAAAGCAGTTTCAAAGAGACATGAGGGTTACTTCCAAGTCTCACCTGCATCCATCCACTCAATGTCCTCCTCGACCATAATTTATAAAACATACATGTTTAGCTTTTAGCACAACTCACTTTTTTCTGCCCTCTCTGTACATTTCACGTTCAGGTCTCGTTCATGTTTTTCAGATCTGGCCAGTCTTTGCTGGAGTCTTCTGTCAAAATAGACGGTGCAAAGCTACAACTGCTGAGCCTGACCTCTGATCTAAATGGCCTTTATCAGTGTGAAGCATCTAACACATATGGAAGTAAACGTGGTCAGCTCTATGTGCATGTGGCATCAGGTGAGGTCAGCTTGGTTTTAGCTGTGCAGTTTGTCCAAATCTTTTTGAACTGGTTTCTGATTTTGGGGGATTTTAGCTTTTGTGGATGTCGTTTCATTCTGATCTTGTTCTGTTTCATGTTCTGTGGACTTCTTTCAAAATAAATAAATAGAAACTTAAATTTCTACTATGAGAGTAAAATGATGGACTTCTGTAGGTACTCCACCCACATCCAAATTAGAGGTTAGGAATCATTTGTAAGCAAATGGCTTAAAGAAATGATTGCCTTTGTTACGGCCGAGAGGGCCAGGCAGTGGGTGTGGACTCAGATGTGAACACAGTATTTTATATACAGTGCCTAGTTAAATTACACAGCAGGAAACTATGAATGCTATGAACTGTGAAAGCTATGAACTGAAAACTATGAGGCCAAACTATGAACATGAAACTTACCTTAGAGCCAGCATAAAACAGACAAGTAAATGGATGACTAATGCTCCACTCAGTGCAGTACATATTACTCAAGTCAGTTCTACAATTTAAAACTTAAAGCATGTCTTAAATTAAATATACAGTGGAACCCTGGCTTACGAAGACCCCATTTAATGAAAAATTCAAGTAACGGCAATATTTCTGCCCGTGGCAAAATGCCCACTTAACGAAATAGATAAAATAGAAAATTGTAAAAAATTTAATTAAATTCCATAATGTTATGTACATGTACACGTATGTATGTATGCATGCATATGTATGGTTTCTTCAACCTCTGCCACCTCCTCCTCCACTAGGAACTTTGTCTTCAGCCAGTATCGCTTCACTCAAAAGGCGATGGAAAAAGGTGCTTCGACTTACGAAAATTTTGACTTACGAAAGGACCCCCTGGAACGAATTAATTTCGTAAGTCGGGGTTCCACTGTATTCTGTTCATGGCCATATAAGTTTCTTATGCCTCAGACTGTGTTAGTCTGAGAGATTTTGAATGTGCAGTGGGTGCATGTAGTCTTCTTTCGGCTGCCCTCCTTAGAGAAGCTAAGAAGAAATACTTTAAAGAAAGAAATAAAGTCTGGCTCCTTAAAAATAAACTCTAAGGAAATGAGGGTTGGCTCAAGAATTTTGCTTATTTTTTTCAGACCATTTAGGGATCATTAGTGTTTCAAATTTGCCTTATGCATTCTCATCTTTCATGCTAACCTCCATGTCCTCTTTTATTACATTCATGAAACGTCAGTGTTTCTTTTTTTCTTCTGCCTGGGAGCTAAATATTCAACATCTAAAATATTCACTCTCCCTCCTCTGCACACACCCAAACATCTTAGTCTCTCTAATTTTGTCTTCAACCTTAGCTTTCCCTCTGATTTACTAATTTCTAGTCCTGTCTATCCTGTTCACTCCTGATGAAAATCTGAGCATCTTCAGCTCAACATCCTGTTTTTTTTTTTTCAGTGCCACTATTTGGAAACCATATAGCAGTATCATAGCGGTATCATCTCGTAAACCTTACCTTTCACCCTTGCTGCTGTCCTTCTGTCACAAATCAGCCCAATATGTTTATCCACCCACCCCACACAGCCTGCACTTTCTTCTTCACTTCTTTTGTGCATTGTCTGTTGCTTTTGATGCTAGTTTTTACAGCTTCAGTGTTACACCTGTCTTCTTCTCATTTACACACATCACATATTCTTTCTTGCTTCTACTGGCTTTCATATCTTCTCTTCAGTCCGTACCTCCATCTCTTTGAGTTGACTTCCAACTCCTCCCCTGCGTCACTTAGTACAGATCACACTGTTGTCTGCAATGATCACAGTCCAAAAAGACTCCTGTCTGACCTCATCTGTCAGAATATCCATTACCATTGGAAACAAAAAGGGGCTCAGAGCTGATCCCTGATGTATTCCCACAACCACCCTAAACCCATCTGTCATCTCTGTCGCATATCTCACTGTCTCACTGTCCTCATACATGTTCTGCAACACCTTCACATGCTTCTCTGCCACTCCTGACTTCCTCATGCAGTATAAGTTTCTTTCTTGGGTCCCTATCATATCCTTTCTTTAGATCCATAAAGACCCAATGAAACTCCTGCTGGCCTTTTCTGTACTTCTCCATCAACACTCTGAAAGAAAACATCTGTAGTGCTCTTTGCCATGAAGCCATACTGCTGCTCACCTCTCATCTTACTTACTGTCATGCTCCAGGCTGAGGGCAATTGATGGTCATTTTATAGTTCTTCCTTTTCCAAATATTCACACCAGCAGTTGTCACCTTCTCACTGAACTACTTGCTGATAGCCTTGTAATCCATTACAGCAGATCTACAGTCTTGTCCATGATGTCCTTTGATAGCTCTTTGGTCTGGTGCGGAGTTGGAAAAGAAGGAACCAATTCTGTGGTTTCTTCAGTTCAGGCCGTTGAAACCAGAAATCTGGCTATTTGTTCTGGACTTCAGGTTGATATTTTGTCTCTTACCATTAAAATGAAACTACCATAAAAATTAGAGACAGTTCATTTCTTTTCCCGAACTGTATCAGACAGCTTTCTCACACCTTTCCCATTTTCTCTTCCTTTATCTTCACCCAAGACTAGAAAAGTTTTTGCCAGAACATTTTTGACCAACAGTACCAGAAGTGATCATTGTTAACCTGCCCTCAACCTACACGAGCTACATGTTTGATTTGTGTATGGTATATGTTTAAGTATTGTCTGAGTCATCTAAATATGAAACAAAAAACATAAATGCCAGATAATGTAATTCTCATTATATCCTTCATTCTTGTGTCCCTGCAGGATCGTGCTCTGCTGCATGGGCCTTACTTGGTGTTTTTATATGTGTTTTTTTCCTGAGCATCGTTGGGGCTGCAGTATGGTACTTTTATACACATGAAGATCAAAGGTACTTCATACATTAACTTGCATGTATCCAATATGTAGAATAATATTTAGTAGACCTGGCTTTAAAGCATGTGGACCTACTGTCCAAACTGAAGTATAGTAGAGTATATGTCTTTATTTATATAGGAATGGCCTAATTGGCAATTTTGATACTTTCTGTGGGGCAAAAAAAGTGTACTAGTTAGCGTGTTACAATAGACATTTTAGGCTAGATTTCATTTAGCGAGAGGGAAACGGAAGACTAGCTTGTAAACAATGTTTTTTCCACAGATGAAACTAAGTAAATCTGGTACCAAAATAGTAGAAAGGAAAAGGATGGAAACATAAAAAAGGATAATCTGAGAAGTACATATCCTCTTTAAAACACAGTGAATTTAGTCTCATAAAATGTTAATCTCAATGATTTCAATCAATATGGAGAATATGATTATTTAATGAGTATTGAGTGATGTTTTTTTTTTAATTAAAAAAAGTTGTATTGTACTGTCTCAGGTGATGCACCTAAATTACTGCATCGCTCTAAAATCAAAAGTGTTTCCAGACAATACATGATGCACTTCTTCGGACAAGCTCCTCGTTTGCCATTTGTCTTTGTTTTGCATATTTGGGTATCTGTCTTTTAACGTCGGGTTATTCATGCACTTGTTTGTTTTATTTCAAATCTATTGCGGTGGTGTTGGAGGGGAAACTGAACATTTTGAATTATTGTCCCAAAAATTCCAGGCGTAGGTTTACATTTTTTTGGCAGCGTGTCCCAACAAATGAACCAGCTGGTAACAGTGCAGCGCAACAAGAACAACATCAGATGGAGGTCAGTAACAGTTAATTCATTGAAATGTGCCATTGTTGTTTTCATTTTTGTTCCAGTCAAAATTCAATTTCTCTTTCCAAATATTTTGGCGCTATTTACTTTAATGTAAAATTATGTTATGCAATTATTGCAGATATATTTGTAGTTTTAGTTTTGTACAAGTAATTTTATTAAATCTGCCCTTCTTCAAAAGTAAATCTTTTTAATTATTAATGTGTGCATTGAATATTGTAGGAGGTTTTTTTTTTTTTTTAATATGCAGATACATGAAAGTCTTTGCATGTTCAGATGAAATTACATGCCGTTTTAAACAAATTCTCTTATATTGTTTACTTCAGTAATCTCTGTGACAGCTGTGGAAGCAAAGGATGAGCAATATCTGGACTGAATGCTCGACCAACATGTCATTCTAGAGTCAGCTACTAAATGAACAGATGAAGAACAGGTGGAGGTACTTGGTGTCCGTTTATCTCTCTGCCCCACTTTTGTTTATCATGTCTTAGTTTTTAATGAAGTTTCTTTATTGCTTTTTCTTGTACTGCCATGGCATTTAGGTTCTACCTTGACATACCAGCTCTGGCTAATATGAATGGCAGTTTTTCTCTGACATTTACATCTCCTGATAACACAAGCCGTTAAGCTACTGAGGATTTCAACCCACAGGGCTTCTGTTTAAAACAGTGTTATCAGTACACCACAGAGCCTCACACAGACAATAGGTTCAGACGGCACAAACAGCCAAGTGAAGCACACTGTCTGACTACCATATATAGTACATAACACTTGAAAAATAGAGCCCCACCCTTGTTAGTGCACGGCAGATGTTTTGCTTGGAAATCTAACATAAAGCAACATACAAAGAAATTTGAAAGAAAAAAAAAATATTTTAAAAAATCTTAGTGAGGTTTTGTTACTGTGTTGAATTATTGGTTGTTTCGTTTTGTTTTTTTCATTAATTTGAAGAAAATCAAAGGTCTTCACCCTTGAAATTTTTTAATTTAACTGTAAAAAGCAGTACGTTATAGCATTTTACAGGAGAGTATAGTTACAAAGGTCACATTTCTCTCATTAATCATTAATCTTAATGACTGTATTAACTTAGATTACATGCTGGTCAATGTTTAATGTGAAACTAGAACAGAACACCAAAGCATACACACTAAAATGCTGGAAATTCTGTGGTGGTACTCAACACACTGCAGTTTAAAAGTCTGCTTCAGCAGGAAAGAAAAGTTTGAGAAAATTAAACAAGCTATTTATGATTTTATAGTATTCACACACGTAATAAGTTATTAGTTCGATGTTATCTTCCTATTTTCGCTCTTTGTCATAATGTGCAGTGTGAGGAATAATAAAAAACAGCGACTGATCAGCAAGAGTAACCAATTGATACAGAAGTAAAAGCAAAGATTTGTCCAGGTGTAGGAAAGAAGTATTCCCTACATCCCCCTTCATGAATCACCACCTTATCGCGGTAAAGGGGTTTGCGTGTCCTTCTGATCCCAGGAGCTGTGTTGTCGGGGACAGTTTGTCCCTGGTAGGGTCTCCCAAGACAATTTGTTCATGGGTAAAGGGCCAGACCAAGTGTGATTCAAAAGAGTTCGATGATGAGAAGTTACTTGACAAAATCTTGGTTACCAGGGCCCGTTCATAAGGCCAAACTTAGTCAAGGAGCTATTTTTGGAAACACCCATTATTCATGGGTCCTGGCTGACCCCAGTTACTCCAGTGAACCCATCACCTGCTGGAGGGGCCATAGTGGTCCAGTGTTACGTGGATCAGGTGCTAAAACTGGTTTGTGATATACGGTGATAATCAAGTGTTCCTTCAAGTGTGAGCAGTGTACTATGTTGAGTATCATACATAATGAGAAAGGTTTTCTAAAATGTCCACTCAGGCAAAACAAGCTTTGTTAATGATTCATAACTCCAGCTGCTGTAGGTGGAGAGCAGTGACCAGTCTATAAAGTCACACTTCATACATGGATTTATGAAATTTATTGCTAATTAACAAACATTCATTGTTTTATGATTAGATTTTTTTCCCACCAGATTTGTCATAGACTGAAATATTATGTGATAGATCAGAAGGTGGGCGTATTGTGTGAGGATGTTAGCGTGATGTCAAGTTGAAAGTAAAATTTTAATTATATTCTATGTTTTCATGTGTTAAGTGCTTATTCTAAATTATTATCATTGAATTCGGGGGGTTAATGTTCTAGTGTTGTTGATTCACAGTTTTCATTGTCTCACTGGTCATGATGGTACTTATGTGAATGTTTCAGTATAAAACTTTTTACAGTTTTAAATAGTGAAGCAAACTGCAGCTATTAATGATTGCTACAAAACAATACCTCTTTTTATACTTTTTAGAAGTGTATTCTGGTACTGCCTAAAGTTTTTGTATTAAGCTGCTTCACTTTTGTAAAAGGTTAATTTGCATATTTAACTGCTGTTTACAAACAAGCTTGAAGGGGGCCACAGCAGCGTGTTGTTTTATACTATTTATATTTTAGGATAGAAACTGCTGACTCATCTTGTCTGGATCTTGTTGCTAAATCTGTTTTTAGATTTAGTAATGGATGTAAAGATATTCTTTGCCTTTTTCCTGCATACTGCTGAATATTGTAAATTTAGTT